GGGGGGGTGAAGCACCCTCTCCCTGAGAGCCGTCTGACTGCTCCTTGAGGCCGAAGCAGCAGTACGCCACTTTGTACTGCGCCGGCGGCATCGGCTCACCGCCGTCGTACGTGAAGGAGATGTTCCACGGAAGGACGGAGAAGTCCTCCGACTGCGTGAGCCCGAGGCCGCAGGCACCCATGGCGGTGGTGAAGGCGAAGAGGATGATGTTGGCACCAGCCCCAAAGCAGAGGCCGAAGAAGAGAGAGCCGATGATGAGGATGAGCACCGACCAGACCAGGAAGGTGACAGAGCCGCAGATCGTGCAGCAGCAGTTAGTTGGGTCCTCCGGCGTGCGGCCAGTGCCGGATTTGGCTGACAGCGTGTAGTAGTAGCCTGTGGGTACAGGGGGGCTGTGGGGCTGGGTCGGGGGAGGAGAGAAGTGAGAGCGGGCCGCGGGAGCGCCACCGTCCAGCGGGGCAGTTTCGGACTTCGAGAAGATGCCGCAGCAGCAGCCGGGATCCGGCTCGCCGCAGCACGTCACGAGATACTTGAGGTCGATCTCCTTTGCCGCATCCGAGTTACCCTCGGAGACGCCGCAGCAGCAGAAGAGGAGGTTCTTGGAAAAGTCGTTTGGGGGTTCGCCGTCAAACTCGAGCGTGGCCGGCCAAGGGCCGCTAGGGTTAGGGTCGTCGGTCGTCGATTCGTCTTTCGTCATCTTGCCGCCGGAGCAGCAGAAGACGCACGCCGAGAGGGCGAAGGCGAAAAGGTTGGCGCACGGGAACACGATCCACCCGAGCGGCAGGAGAAGGTAGGCCCAGAGGTTCGCCAAGATGAAGGCGGAGATCATGCCCCACCACGGTCCGTTCTTGAATGAGTTGGGTCCGACGTAGTATGTCATGACGTCCTGAGGAGGGCGGGAGGCTAGTGGGAGGCAGCGGGTGCGATCTGTGGGCGAGCCCCGAGCGAGCGAGCTAAACGCGGCGCATACCAGGGCGAGGTGCAGCAGCAGTGGGGAGACCAACGTCGGCGTGTAATCGCGACCTCGTTTTGAAGAAGAATTCACACCGCCTCCTCTCCTTAAAATCCCTGTGTGGTGGCGGCGTGCCGTTCTCCCATCCCTCCCTTGGGTTGTGTGTTTTCTTTCTTTCTTTCTTCACTAGAAGAATACTGTCTTGCAGGTTTAAAATGAAGGTTTAAAATGAAGGTTCCGTTTAAAATGAAGGTGCGCGCCGTTTGTGCCGCGTCCCGTGCCCCCAATGATTCGGGCGCGTCCCAATCGCCATGCTACGCAATATTTCTTTTTCTCGCGAACGTCCGCGCTCGTCGCGACCATTGCTGGGCGTTCCGGCCGCTCTCTTGCAACTACGAGTGGGCAAGGCAAATGGCCCTCGCGTCCCTCGCAAAGCTGGCCGGCAGTCTCGCCGCCGCCGCTGCCGCCGCCGCTGTCGCTATCCACAACTCGGGCGACGGCCACCTCGTGCTTCCAAAGGCGTCGGTTTTTTCCGGCGCCCTCGCCCTCGGCGGAATCGCGGCGCTGACTGCCCTGCTCCAGCTGCCCGGCAAACAAGCCGTGGCCGCGGACATCGCCTCTCTACGCACCGTCGCCCTTCGGCTCAAGGACTCGATCGACCACGCGCGAGAGACGCTTGGATCACCGCCTCTCTCGGCTGCAGACTCGTATGAGGCCGTCCGCTTCCTCGCCGAGACGTGGACGTCCTGGCACGGCGCGGCTCCACTACGTCCGCCGTCCGCGGAGGGACACGTCACATGTCCACGACGCGTCCTTGACACGTTCCGTAGAGACACGGCCGACCTTCCAGGCCGACGAGGTCCAGACCGTCGCGGGCGTCCAGCCGCTGAGCGCCGCGGAGGCGGAGGCGATGGCGCGTCACCTCCCCCTCGCCCTGGCGGCGTATGAGGAGGACCCGTCTGCGGCGGTGGAGGAGGAAGGCCTCCGCTTGCTCTACCACGACCGCACGACCGTCGCCGGGGAGCGGACAAGCCACTACCTCGCCTACTCGACCGAGCAGCGGAGGGTCGTCCTCGGCATCCAAGGCATCTGACCAGATCTCGGCAATCTCTCGACCAGATCTCGGCCACCTCTCGGCCATCTCTCGGCCATCTCTCGGCCATCTCTCGGCCATCTCTTGGCTCAACCTCTCCCTCTCTCTCTCTCTCTCTCTCTCTCTCTCTCTCTCTCTCTCTCTCTCTCTCATCCATCGCCGTCAACGGCGAGATCAGCCGAGATCACCCGAGTCCCAGGCACCTCCGACATGAACGACGTGCTGACGGACGCGATGTGCCGCGCAGTGCCGCTGTCGCCGCGTGTCCGGGGCGGAGAGGTGTTGGCGCGCAAGCCTAGAAGCGGAGTGTTCCGAGACACTTCCGAGATACTCCCCAGGGTGGTCCACCACACCGATGGAGACATTTCCTAGCCACTTCCTCCTCGACACTGTATTCATACGGTATCTCACGTGTGTTGGCGCGCAAGCCTGGAAGCGGAATGTGTGTGCTCGTGCCACTCCAGGACACGTGCTCCGCTGTACTCGACCGTGTGTTCGGCTGTCCTCACTGTATGCACACGGTCTCTCACTCGTCTTCGCGCGGTGCTCCGAGGACACTGTGTAAGACCGTCCTCCCGCCATGGCGGTATACTCAGGCGGCGAGGCGCACGAGGCGATGTCATCCTACCGGGTGTACTCAGCCGTGTAGGCGCACGAGGCGATGTCAGTGGCCGCCCGCCACCTCGCCGCCCGAGTTGGCCCTCTGCTGCGCGACTTGTTCACGCCGAGCGGGCGGCCGTACTCGATCGCCGTCACCGGCCACTCGCTGCGCGCCACCATCACCTACATTGCCCGGGACACGTCCACGACCTTTCCGAGACATGTCCCGTAGGCCACTCGCTCGGCGCGGGCACCGCTTGCCTGCTGGCGGTGCTGCTCCGCGAGGACATCGGCATCGACGTCGTCGCGTTCGGTTTGGGACATGTCTCGGACAGGTCATGGACGTGTCCTCGACATGTAGGCATCGACGTCGTCGCGTTCGGGTTGGGACATGTCTCGGACAGGTCATGGACGTGTCCTCGACATGTAGGCATCGACGTCGTCGCGTTCGGGTTGGGACATGTCTCGGACAGGTCATGGACGTGTCCTCGACATGTAGGCATCGACGTCGTCGCGTTCGGGTTCGCGACGCCTCCCGTGATCGGCAAGGCATCTCGTCCTCTCGGCTCTTCTCGGCCCCTCTCGGCCCCTCTCGGCTCCTCTCAAACGTGCCGAAAGCGTTGCCGGTGTGGTGCAGACCAGCAGCATGACCATACCCCTGGAGAGGGCCGCCAGCCTGACCATACCCCCACCCCTCGAGGAGGCCGCCTCCGGCGGCCAGGACCATACCCCCCCACCCTTTTGGCCGTGAACCTAGATCTACCATACCCCCGAAAACTTTCTTTGAGGCTCAAAGCTCGTCGGCGAGAAGGTATTGCTTGACTGGTCTGTCATCTGCCAGTGTCGCTCTCATCGCAAACGGACACCAGGGCCCGACTCTCATTCCCGATTGCGCGGTCGCTCTCGCGCGAAGGCCAGTGCCGTTGCCGTCACTACGGAGGTGCTTGACTGGCCGCCGGCGGACGCTTTGGAATGGGAAGGGGCCGATGGGAAGGAAACAAGTGCGGCGCGTGCCCCGCGTGCTTTGCTCCGGATTGTGGCCAATGCCTGGAGTGCCTGGACAAGCCCAAGTTTGGTGGCAAAGGGGTTCGGAAGAAATTGTGCAGGAGAAGGCTTTGCCGCGGCCCCACCCCCGCAGGAAGTGTCGGGCCGGAGATCCGACTGCGCGCCATCGCCGCCGCTGTCGCTCGCAGCAGCGCAGTCTCCACGGAGGTGTGCATTGCGCATGGGCGAGTGCTGCACACAGACTGGCGACAGAGGGAGGGGCCTGGGGCGGCCGTCGCGCCTGCTGGTGCGGCATCGGCGCCGCCTGCCGCCGCACCCCAGCTTCCCATTGGCGTCTTGCCGGGAGCTGCTGCGAGGCCGGAGGGCGCCGTCAGCTGGACGGACGAGACTGCGCTCGCGCCGGCACCGCCGCGGGCACCGCTGCCGCCACCGCTGCCGCCACCGCTGCCGCCACCGCCACCCTGGGAGACCCTCGCCGCCATCTGCGACCCTCGAGCGTGTTCGGCCAACGCCGCCGACGCTGATGTCGGCTGCACCGCCGCCGCCGCCGCCACCGCCCCCGCGCACGAGGGGATTCGGGCCGGTGCGGGCTCCGGACGGAGCAGCGAGGGCGGCGGCGCGGGCGGCGGCGGCGCGGGCGGCGGCGGCGCGGGCGGCGGCGATGTGGTGGGGTGGCCGCTAGTGGAGTTTGAGGAGTACGCCGCCGCCGACCTGCTGTCACCCTGCAACTCAAGGGAGGAATGGGAGGACGGCACGCCGCCACCACACCGGTTTTAGCTCGCTGTGCACTTTCCACACAGGGATTTTTAAGGAGAGTCTGACCAGCGAGTTCTGATTCTTTTTTTCTTCTCGGGGTACCTGGTTGTGCCAGTGCGCGCCAGTCCCGTTTGCCGTCCGGCTAAAATTCTTCCCTCGTGTGTGCGCGCCAGTCACGTGCCCGTCGGGGAATTCTTTCTTCGCGCGACACATGGCAAGGCCAGCGCCGGAGCCCGCGGGCATCGGCCATCGCCACCAGGCCACCGCGCACGGCTGCACGGTCAGCGGAGGAGGGCGCCGCCAGCAGGGCGATTAGGAGCGCCACGGCTCGCACGCCGATCGTGAGTCGAGAACCACTGGTCATATCGTCGCCGAGTCGACGAGAGCGCCACCTGCAAAGTGAAAAGAAAGAATTCAACAAAAAAGAACTCAGAAAGAAAACAGACAACCCAAGGGAGGGATGGGAGGACGGCACGCCGCCACCACACAGGGATTTTAAGGAGAGGAGTGTGGTGTTAGCCCTCGCCCACCCTAACCCTTGGTCCTCGACCTCTTTTTTCTCCTTTGGGACGCTTTTTTTCTTTTTTTGGCGGGCATATACGACGCCGGCGGCCCAGCCCTGCTGCCCGACCTGGCGGTGGGCGACCTGGGCTCGCTGCGCGCCCTCCTCTCCGGGCGGCGGACGCGCGGCAGGCTCGACGCGCGGCTCGACACCGAGAAGCAAGCACGCTGCTCACCTGGGCCGCTCGTCACGGGCAGGCCGAGGCGGTGCGGCTGCTGCTCGAAGCCGGCGCGAGCGTTGGGGCGACGGGCGGCGGCGGCCGCGCCGCGCTGTTCATCGCGTGCCAGAACGGCCACGTCGAGTGCGTCCGGCTGCTTCTCGAAGCCAGCGCGGCGGTCGGCCAAGCCTCCAACAGCGGCGCCACACCGCTGTTCATCGCGTGCCAGTACGGCTACGTCGAGATCGCGAGGCTGCTGCGCGACGCTGGCGCGGCGGTCAATCAAGCCAATCAGGATGGCACCACGCCGCTGCTCATCGCGTGCCAGGAGGGCGACCTCGAGATCGTCCGGCTGCTTCTCGAGGCCAACGCGGCGGCCAACCAAGCCGACAAGCAAGGCGCCACGCCGCTCTTCATCGCGTGCCAGAACGGCTACCCCGAGACCGTTCGACTGCTCCTCGAGGCTGGCGCGGCGGTCAATCGAGCCCCGCAGCATGGCGTCACGCCGCTGTACATCGCGTGCGAGAAGGGCCACCTCGAGGTCGTTCAGCTCCTCTCCCCCTACGGCGCCTCCCGCGCCGCCACGCCCTTCGGCACGCCCGAGGAGGCCGCAACCGATGAAGGCCACGCCGACCTCGCCGCTTGGCTGGTCGCCAGCCGCGGCTGGACGCCGCTCCAGCACCTCGAGGCGTGCCCGAGACTAGCGGCCGAAAGCGTGAGTGCATTGTCCTCACGCTCACTGTCCCTCTTCCGCAGGCGCTCACCGTCGACCGGGCGCGGGCGCTGCTGCGCGGCGGCGCGGACTCTTCAGCCGGCGAGCCGTCGGCCCTCGAGCGGGCGCGCGTCCTCTGCTCGTGGGGCGAGTCGGATCCGACAGCTGCGGCCGCCGGCTCCACCGTCGCGATCCACTCTCTCGTCTCGCGGCCGTCGATGAACGGCAAGGTCGGCCTCGTCGTCTCCGCGAGCGCTTCGACGGGACGCTTCGGCGTGCGCGTGGCGGGCGAGGCCAAGGCACTCGCACTGAGGCGCGCTATGGCCTCTCCCCCACTCGCCGGATCCTCTCTTTGGACACACCCCACGCCTCTCCCCTTCCTCAGGCCGGCCAACCTGGAGCCAGCGGCCGCGGCGGTGGAGGCGGGCAGGCTCATCCTCAAGTCGGCGGAGTGGTCGCCGCAGTCGCACGAGCTTTTCCCGGAGGCGGCTCGCAAGTGGGCGGTCGCGGTGATGCAGCTGGGCTGCCTGATCGCGTGGGACGAGGAGCGCTTCGACGGCGAGGGGGCGGCGCCGGGGCTGGTGGACCTCTGGCGCAGTTTTGTGCTGCCAAGCAAGGGTGGTGGTGCGGGCGCCGCAGGCGCACCGCGTTCCCCATGATGCATGAAGCATACAACAGCGTGTCTAGGAAAACCCCAGTTGGGAAGACAACGGCCTGGGCACTTGGACGGCACTTGAGGAGCTCTGGGGGGAGGCGGGGCCCCTAGGGGGTTAAGTACCCATGCGGGGGGGGAGATGGGGTCCCATGGCCCGCCGCAGGCGCCTTCTGGTGCATTTTTTCTTTTTTGCGCAGTTTTCACTTGTTTTCACATGAGAATTTCGCGTATTGCGTTGCGACCATGCTATCACGCCTTGCGAAAGCCTGTCGGCGCTGCTGACCGTGTGCCATCGGCCTTAGTATCCAGCATTCAGTGACGACCTGATCGTACGGCCAGTAGGAAGGTGTCCTTCCAGCGCGTGCACGCTTCTGACGCAATGCGCGTCACAAACTGCCTCGGATTGGCTGCTGGCACTCTCGAGGCTATGCCTACACAGCCTCGCGCGCATGTGGGCAGTCAAGAGGGACCATGCACCTTCTTACGACAGCGCCGGTGCCTCTCTCTTGGACCGGCAAACGTGGGGGTCTCGTGTCACCAATGTGGGACCAGTGTGGCATCGCGCCATCGACAGCTCTGAACACTGCGCCTCACCACTGACCGGGAAGGCCGCCAAGTGGGCCAGCACCAGTCGCATATTGTGACAGCAGTCAGTAGTGCATGTCTGATAGCTAGAGCAGCAGCGTCAGGGTCGCAGGGTCGGATCGTGTCAAGCCTCGCACTCGCCCGGCCGGCCGCGTGCAGACGTCGGCCTGTGGTCTGCTGTCTGGAGTGATCTGTCGGCGGTCAGTACGACCGATCAGGTCGGAGTTTTCTGATGGTTGGAGGGTCTATCTGTATGTACTTCTCGAGATCTCTCCAAATCTGCCCTCTGATTAACCTAGCTTAATCGGGAAGTTGGTGCTAACGGAGACTAGCGGAGCCGGGCCCCGTTTCCGCACTGCGGCGCGGCGCACGGTGCCTCCGGGGGCCCCCGCCTCCCCCCAGTCATTTGCCTCACATCCAGGGGCAGGGCCGGGGAGTTAAGAAGCGCACCCAGCGGGCCGGATGTGATCGGTATCGGGTTGGTTGGCATCGGAAAGAAGAAAGAATTCTTAGATACAAGCCTCTCTCACAGCACACTGGCACGACAAGGGCGCGGACTGGCGCGGACTGGCACACACACCGGCTCACCACCGGAAGAAGCAAAGCCGTTTTCTTTCGGAGCGCGCCACCATCGCGGGCGGCCGCTGCGGGCCTGCGGCCGCGAGCTTCATCGGGAGTCGCCGGCGGGCCCTGGCACCGAGCTCACGGTGGGCATGCACGCTCTCTGCGTCGAGGTGCCCGCCGGTCATGCGATCGGCTTGGGCGTCGACCTGTTCAACGTCTACTACACGCCCGCGAGCACGGACCCGGCCCTTCGGCTCGGCCTCTCGTGCGATGCCCGCAGTCGCCTTGCCCTGCCAGTGGTCAACAGCGGCGACGGTGCGCCTCAGACCCACACGCTTCTGTGAGAACCCCGGTCGCACTGAGGCCTCATTCGAGTGAGGGCGCATGGATTGTGCATGACCGCATGTGTGTTAGTGAGGCATGTAGGGGTATATTTAGAGCCGTACTTCGCTAGGTAGGCACAGGTGTGCTAGGGCGAGTTTTCCTACTAGAGATGGACACATACATGCACAGTGTTTCCACAAGTTTTGTCGTTGTGTCTTAGAGACAACACAAGAGCACTCTTGTTGCATGCAGGTTGCAGAGTCTGCATGGATTAGCCTCTGCATAGACGGGGCGGCTGATTCTAATTTCCGTATTTCTCCTGAAAATGCAGAATGCAGATGCAGAATGCAGAATGCAGAACCAAGCCCAAAATGTTTACTCTGTATGTGCAGCATGCAGAGAACGCAGGATGCAGGATGCAGAATCGGCCCCAAAATGGATTCTTCTGCATGGTGCAGGATGCAGGATGCAGGATGCAGAATGCAGGATGCAGAATGCAGGATGCAGGATGCAAAATCAGACCCAAAGAGTTTGTCCGTCGGGTGCAGCTCACAGCTTTGAGCCTGGGGCTGATTCTGCATTCTGCATTCTGGATCTGCATCTTGCATGATGTCATGTGTGGTGCCCGGGCACAAAAGGCAGAGATATGGCACGATAGTTACTCTCGAGCGCAGATTACGCACGATCACCTCCTGAGGGCGCCAACGGCGCGACGCGGCCCGGGTTTCGCACACAGCAGCCCCCGGCAGGGCCTCTAGGGAACAGCGTGTGAGCTTTGGCGAACTATCATAGCCGCAGACTTATCCATGCGAAAAAGGAGCGCAGATTAAATCCTGATGTCCGGAACGGACTTATATGTGTAGCGGGCGGGCCCAAAGCTGTGAACTGCACCCGCGATGCAGATGCAGAATGCAGAATTTGGCGGGCGGCTGTGGGACCAACAATGGAATCGATGATGCGCGTCCTCGGCTACCTTCTCCTTCCGGGCCTTGCGCTCGGGAACCACTGCTTGGGAACCACCGTGCCAGGCTACTGCTGCTCTATCGGCTGTGACACTGCGATCGACCTGACGCAGTACGGCGTCACGCAACCCTCCTGTTCCGCGGGCGACGCAACTCTCGCCGACATCTTTGCAGACTCGCAGGCCGATCCTACCGATCTCTGCTCCCCGCTGACGGAGGGGAGCTGCTCATGGGATTCAAGCGCAGATGCGAAGTGCGTCAGCCAGGGCCTTTGCCCGGCCGTGGTACCGCCAGCCACAATTGGGTGCGTGCCGGGCGTTTTGGCGGGCGCACCGTACCCGCCACCAAACCCGCCACCCCCCTCCCTGCCGCCGCCGACACCGCCGCCGCCCTCGCCGCCGTCCCCCACCCGCCCCACCACCTCAGCTCCTCCCTCTTTGAACGCAGCACACCGCGCTTTGGCCCGCGCAGGGTTCGAGATTACACGAGATTACACGAGCTTACACGAGATTGCCATCTGACCCGCGCAGGGTTCGAGTACGCCGTCGAAGGCAAGGCGTCCCGCTGCAAGCTCTTCAAGGGCCCCATCCTCTCGACGCTGCCCGTCGGCGGCGCGCGCTGCTACAAGAAGGTGTCCAAGACGGAGCTCGGGCCGCACAAAAAGCGGCTCTAGTGAGGCCGTCAAGGGCGACCTCAAGCCGTCCTCCTTCTTCTCGCTGCGCGACTCGATCATGAACATCTCGCACGAGTAGAACCTCTCGCTTCCCCTCGGGGTAGCCCAGTCTGTCGGGGGGGAATTGCTCCACGTCCGCGTAAGCTTCCACAGGCGCGGCAGACTTTGCATGCTCCGGCCACCTCTCTCCGGTGAAGGCCTCTCGCGCCCGCATTTTGCTGAGCGTCACGGGGCGGGGGGCGGTGGCTTGTACTATTGCGATGGCTGTGACCCCGGCGGGGCGGTGGGCGGGCTCACCGATCACTGTGATGTCCACCTCCGTGTGTATTGCGGTGACGCCGGGGGAGAGCCATGTGTACATTTGCTGCGTCGAGAACTCGCGCTCGATGAGCTGCTTGAGTCTCCGCACTGCCGGTATTATGTTAGGGGTGTGTGTAACGCCCGTCTTGATTATCAGCTTGATCTTCGTCTCCATTTACACCCCTCGGGTTGGAATTAGTAGTTGAATCCCAAATCGCCATACTACATAGCGCGGAGTGCACTGCCGGCATCCCTGTCTCCGTACTCCCGCCGAGTGCGAAACGCGTCTTCCAACCTCCATCGAGCGGCGAGGCCGCCCCCAATTTGACCCGGTCCCCATGGGTTCCAGGTTACTCCCCGGAAGTTTTGCGCAATCATGGCTCGTTGTGCGAGTATATGGGCCACGATGTCTCAAATATGAGGGGTTTTGACTCCTACCGACTCCTGACGCTACCCCTGGCAGCTCTAATGACCAGGGTCAGTAGTGTTGTGATAGAGGCTGCCCATACTAGCGCAGGAGCTGCCACACTCGCCCGGACCGTCCCCTTCTGGGGCCGGTTCCGCAGCCCGCGAGAGCCGACAGCGGGGCCGTGCCGCGGGTGCTTACTGCCGAGTGCCACAAACACTGCGCCGTCCCGCCATCACCTACAGGCTGTCTTGTGTGATGGTTGGGATGTCAAAACGCCACCGTCTTGGCTCTTGCGACCTCAAACCCGCGAGCTGTATGGGTGGTCCTGACGTCGACAGACGCCCGATGACCACGGTGAAGCTGAGCCGGAACGAGTCGACAAGTCTCGCCTGAGCCCGTGGCGGTCGCCGGCTGAGTCGCCGTGCACGGGCCGGTACCTCAGGCGTCACCTCCGCAGCCTCAGGTCTCACACTCCATCACCTCCGACGGGACGCCTTCGGTGGCACGCTCGGCGGCGACTTTGTGGCAGCCCCACAGCGAGCGCGGCGTCGAGCCTGTTCGGTCTGGTCGGTTCGCGGCACTCACTGGGTGCCAGGGAGTGCCGCCGACACGCGAGCGGTGCTTCCTGGCGGCGCGCGCCGGCTGTGGGGCTGCCACAAACTCGAGACACGCTTTTTGGGACATTTTCGACGCTTTTGGCCCATATACTCGCACAACAAGCCTCATGCCTATTACTACCAAGGGGAGCTCGAGTATGCGTTCGACGTAGGATGGGTACCACTGAGCCTGTGCCTTGCGTGGTCTTGGTTTCAGCACCTCGCGAGACCGCCTGCGTTTCATATTTCTTTTTCAGTCGGAATTTACATATTGAACATAGAGTTCATTGCCTGGCCAGCGTACCTGTCCCCGTCTTCCCTTCGGTCACGAAACGCATTCCATACCATGGTAAAGGGGGTAGCAAACATCGGATCTGCATGGGTCTCTAAAAAATCAGAGATTCTCCCTATCAATGCTAAGGGCAGCTCGAGTAAGCGATCGACGATGGATGGACGGATGCCACATGTGGCCACCGGCTTTTCTTGGTCTCGGGTTTTGGTCACCCTCATAGTAGGCTCGCTTGCGCTTCTTGAGCATTAGACGTGGCATATTTTTCTTTTTCATTCAGAAATTGGGGGCAGCTCGCAGCTCAGTTGGGACGGTGCACGCTCCAGGAAGAAACAGCACAGGTAGCCGATAGTAACCCCAATGCCCACCCCCAGACTGACCGCCTCGAGCACCTCCCACCACTTTTCTGCGTCCAGCCCTTTGCAGTCTTCGGTGGGTACGAGAGGGGCCACGGAGGGGGGTCGGGTACCTCGCTGTGTCGGCTGGATCCGTCTGAGAGCCCGCTTCCGTCCTGCGCCTTTTGGCGGACCAAAGGCAGCACGTCGGGCAGTGCGGTGTCATCGGGTGACTCTGGAAGAAGGTCAGCGACCACATGGACGGTCGGGTTCGGGTTCATGCACCTCTCTAGACCCACTCTCGGAAAATTCGAGGAGCATATCGCTCTCCGACATGAGGCGCGTTGCACTTGCCAGTGCTGCCCTGGCCTTCTGTCTGCCCGCCCAATGGGTGGCAGGTGCCTCTGCTGCTGTGGCATGCCTCGCGGCTGCGACTGGCCGGCGCCTCGGCGCGTCAGCTCGGCTCGGCGTAGCGATCGTGGCCAGCGCAACTCGCCTGGACTCAACGCTCAGCCAGGAGCTCCCGCACGCGCTGGCGCGAGTCATGGCGCATGCAACGCGCAGCAATGCTCGCCTCGCCTCGCGCAAATGCGACCGTCTTCGCAGCCGACAGTCCACCGCCTGCTAAAGAAGCACAGCGACGAATGCGGCACCGGCGACGCATGGCAGGCTGGTCATGACGCAGTTATAGGGTGTTGTGTGCCGTCAGAGTGACTCTCTGTGTGTCAGGGATAGTCAGGGCCGTCCATCAGAGCTCCAGTAAGCTCGGAGACACCCCATTAGTGCGACTCGACCTCTTTGAGTCACTGCCTTCCCGGCGGTTTGGCTGTAGAGCCTCTACAACAAACTCTACAACAAAATCTTAACGGAGTCGCTTAGGCGGCTCCGGTGGTGTGCCGGTGATAGTACTAGCACGCGCCAGTTCGCACCTGTGTCGAGCCTGTCTGCTAAAGAAAGAAAGAAAGAAAACAGACAACCCAAAGGAGGGATGGGAGAACTGTCTGCTGTGAGACACAGTTGCCCGGTAAATTCTTTCTTCGACCCGTGATGGGCGGTGCGCTCCGCGTCCCGGCGCAGAAGGCCCTCGCCTAATTATGAGCGGCCGCAAGACGCCTCCTCCGGCGGTCGTCGTGCTCGCCGAAGGCGTTGAGCGATGGCCCTCGCTCAGCGCAGCCGCCAAGCAGCGGCTCCTCGTCGCCGTCGCCACCAGCAAGCGCTCCGAGAAGCAAAGCGCCGTCCGCTTGCTCGAGCTGGCGCAGGAGGACACGAACCGCGGCGTGCAGCTGCTCGCCGGCGCGCTGCGGGAGGGCGGCGGCGGCGAGCCGTCGGGCCTGGCGGCGGAGCAGCTCGCTGCGACTCTGCGCCTCTGCCGCCAGCGTCTCGCGCCGCTCGCGGGCGCTGCTGGCGGCGGCCTCGCGGCGGCCGGCGCCAACGGCTCTGTGGAGTGGAGCCTGGAGCACGGATTCACCTTGCAGGGCGTGGCGGCCGCGCCGTACCCCGCCGCCGCCGCCGCTCCCCTCCCCTTCCGGCTGAATCCAGCGGCGCTCGAGTCGCTCTCGGCGTCACACGCGCTGCCGGCGCCGCTGCACTCCGACCCGGGGGCAGGATCACGAGCGCCGACCCCGCCGCCGCCGAGCATCGCCGCCGCCGCCGCCGCCGCCGCCGCCGCCGCCGCCGGCGCGCCTCCCGCGCCGCCGGCCGACGGGGTTCGGATCTCGTTGCCCAAGGCGTCGCGCAAGGTGTCGCAGCTGGGCAGGCCGGCGGCAGGGCGGGGAGGCGGCGGGATGGACATGGCGTCGGGACGGAGCGACAAGTACAGCCGCGCGAGGCAGGGCGCGCGCACGATGCAGATGCTCGATCTCGGCGAGGAGAAGCAGCTGCAGCGGCAGACGGCGGCGGCTGTCGCGCCAAAGAAAAAGGAGGCGGCGCGCCGCAAGAGGGAGCCGGTGCCCGACCCGGTCGCTAGGAGGCAACCTTAATGAATGAGTAATTCTGCCTGCACACCTACTTAATAGGTGCCCGACCCGTTCGCGGGCGCGGTGCAGGCGCAGGAGGACGGCACGGCAGTCTACTACCAGGACCGGAGGAAGCAGTGGCCGTACACCGCTAGCGCGGCGGGCGCCTCCCTCCTCCAGCGACTGCTCGCCGAGGCGACCCCGCTGCTGCGGCTCGTCTTCATGAACTGATTGGGCGCCTATCAACTCGTCAGTGAATAGGCGACCCCGCTGCTGCGCTCGTCCCTCGAGGCGCTGCAGGTTGTGAGTGGGGAGGAGCGGGTGTTGGACTGGATGGAATGGGATGGGATTTGGGATTGGGAGTGATGGATGCTGTGCTGAGGTGGTGACGGCGCCACATCTCGGCCATCTCTCGCCCATCTCCCGCCGTTCTCCCGCCGATCTCTCGCCGATCTCCCGCCGCAGGATGACCCTGACGGCGCCGAGCTGCGGCGCGAGGGCGAGCGCATCTACGCGCAAAAGCCGAACATGCGCGCGGGCGGCATCACGTGGTCACAAGAAAACTACGCGCACCTCGGTCTCCAGGCCGAGTACCTCCGCCTCAAGTCCATCCAGCGCATCACCGAAGGGACCGTCGCGATGGAGCGCGCCTACAACGCCGGCGCCTTCGCCGCGCTGCGCGACGCACGCACCAAGACCCCCTTCCGCGTCGCCTCTCTCGGCGGTGGGCCTGGATTCGAGCTGCTGGCGGTGCGGGAGTTTTGCGCCGCGCGGCTGCCGCAGGCGGAGCCGCACACCTGCTCTCGCACTTGCATCTCACATCTCCCCACATCTGCCCACACCTCCCCACATCTGCCCACATCTGCCCACATCTGCCCACATCTGCCCACATCTGCCCACATCTGCCCATATCTCTTCATGTCTATCCACATCGCCCCATATCTGCCGCAGGCGGAGCCGCAGCTGCTCTCGCTCGACCTGCAGGGCGCGTGGCGGCCATGCTGCGAGGCGCTCGGGCTGCGCTTCGAGGTGTGGGACGTGAGGGACGTTAATTACATCAATTTAGTCCATGAGTGCACTGATGCCTCGGGCTGCGCCTCGAGGTGTGGGATGTGATGGACGGCGACGGGCTGCTCGGCAAGACGGGGTGGCCCGCCATCGACCTGGCGGTCATCTCGTACGTCTACTACCACTACATGTCCAACGAGCACTGCGCCGACTGGCTGGCGAGGCTGCTGCACGCCGGCGCCGTCAAGGCGGTCCTCATCATCTCGCGCTTCGAGGACCTCTCGCAGAACCTCGACGCAGTCGCGCGGCGCGGCGTGCATGTCGTGCCCCTCATGCGCAAGCCCCGCCACTCGCGCCGCCCCACCGATCACCGCCAGCTCCTCTACGTGTCGCCGACAGCGGGCGAGCTGCCCACGCCGCTGCCGCAGCAGGAGTGGCTGCCCTCCCCTACCCCCACGGTACCCGCACCCATCCCCTACCCCCACGGTACCCGCACCCATCCCCTACCCCCACGGTACCCGCACCCTGCCGCCGCAGGAGTGGCTGCCGTGCTCCTTCCCAAACGTGCCGTTCGAGGACCAAAAGGCAGCGACACAAGTCGTCCCACACGCCCGAGACGCTCCCCCTCGAACCTTCTCGGAACCGTCCTGCAGGCAGAGGCGGACAAGTCGTACCGCCAGCGCGGCACCGCGTTCGACTATTCCGCAGAGTACGCGCCGCCGCCGCCGCGCCCGCCGCCGCCGCCGCCGCCGCCGCCGCCGCCGCCGCTGGAGGCGGCCGACTCCTTCGATGCCGAATGGAGCCGCGCGCAGCCGCTCGGGCAGCCGCTGTCGCGGCAGCCGAGCGGCGGATCCAGGGACGCGTCCAGGGACGCGACCAGGGACGCGTCCAGGGACGCGACCCGCAGCCCGACACTCGCGCCGCACTGGGTCGAGGACTTCGCGCCGCAGCGGGAGAGTGGTGGTTTCGGCGGCGGCGGCGGCTTCGCCCCCTCTAGCCCCTC